AATTATCTAATACACAAAAGCAAGCTGTAATAACATTAATCGAGAAAAAGGATAAAGACAGGAGATTGATCAAAAATTGGAGACCAATATCCCTCCTAAACGTAGACGTGAAAATTGGGTCAAAAGCTATCGCAAAAAGACTTGAAAAGGTATTGCCAGATATCATTCATTATGATCAAAATGCCTTCGTTAAGGGACGGACTATATTTGATGCAACCCGAACAATAAGTGATGTGATGGCTTTTACGCATACTAAAGACTACAAAGGTATTATGACTGCTATAGATTTTGAGAATGCCTTTGACTCCCTAAATTGGGATTTTCTATCAAAATCACTGGAATCTTTTGGTTTTGGAGTGTCTTTCAGGACACGGATTAAAACGTTCTACAACAACTTATCGAGTTCTGTGACAAATAATGGCTTTTCAACCCCTTCTTTTAACCTCGAAAGGGGTGTCCGCCAAGGCGATCCACTTTCGCCTTTCCTTTTTATCATAGTGCTTGAACTGCTTGCTATCTCTGTGCGAAATAACAATCAAACAAGAGTCGAATGCTGACTTCGGAGCGAACACGATCTGGTTGGGGGCGAACTCGATCAAGTTGAGTCGATTTGGGGGCGAACCCGTCATGGGGCGAAACCGGCAGCTACCTCAAAGATGAATCAACGGAGACAAACTATACTAGTAATATTTTGTATATTAAGTGAAACCGTTGCTTTGCCAAGGTTTTCACAAAACTTAACATTTCAAGAGTCATTTGAAACTGCCGCACAGATAAACGAAGAACTAAAAAGAATGGAATTCGATGGTGCATTTTGCAAAAAATTCAAACTTCCAATCGATAGATTTTCTTCATTTTTTCGCTCGACGTAGAAAATCGGTAGGGAAAATGATCCATCAAAAGAAAAATAGGGGTCACCGAACGTCCAATATCGTTAAATCCAGGCAAAGCTGTAGCAATGGCCATTATTGTTCATTTTATTAAGGCTGGTTTTCACTAGAACATAAGCACAAGCACAAGCATAAACATAAGCACAAGTGAAAACAGCCACGACATAAACATAAGCATAAGCAGAAACATAAGAAGAACGAACCCACTTATTTGTCTCGTGCAGTTTTCACTAGTGACGTGCTCGACATAAGCATAAGCATAAGCACGAGAAAAACGAACAGTTCCGTTTTTCTTGTGCTTATGCTTATGCTTATGTCGAGCGCGTCACTAGTGAAAA